CGAACGCTTTTGAATTTTTTACGGGTGCTAAGTTGGACTAAGTCTGCGCTAACATTTCACGCTTTATATATTGTGTGTATGAGATTGAGTGGTCCAGATTGTGATTGGCATTTTGGCCTTTAACCCAAGTCAGCGGAGAAAAATCGACGACTACTCTGAACTAGACCTTGTCATCGTCGTCCAAGAGTCGCCGACTTTGACATTGACGTTTTTGCGAAGCGAAGCCAAGCCATGATCGCCGATGCTGCCGGCTAACTGCACTTGGCCAATGCCAAAAAACAAAAAATTGAAAAACATAGAAGCAAACTGCCAAGCCGCTTAGCATTTAGCCGATCGTGGTCTTCATCGCTGCTGCTTTTTTGTTTAGCTACAATTACTTATTTAATCATAATTTCGTTCGCGTTTCAACAATCATCAATCATCAAAGCCGGCAGAGCTGTGTGCGACTGGGCCAACTGTCAGCCTGACAGATTGCCAGCTAGTTTGGCCCACAGATCCCGGGCTCGGGATCTGGAATGCAGCTATGCGGTCTGCCCCAGCTGTTTAGTGCAAAAAGTGGCATCAGCCGCAGAATGCCACAATTATCTAGTCAGCAGTCAGTCACTCAGTCAGTCAGTCAGTCAGTCAAACGGGCTAGTTGAACTTGCCGTTTGCCATATTGACGTTGCCGTTGCCGTTGCCGTGGCTCTTGCAGCGATCGCGCGAATCAATCGATCACGTTTTGAGACCAGCACTTGCCGCAATCAACTGGTTGGTACCCTGTAAGCTTCGCCCGGTCTGGCAGTTACCAAGACACCAAGATGCCATGATACCCTTTCCCCTTAGCCAAGGAAGCTAGAAACTGAAGCGCAACTGAATGAACTTTCCAAACAGGCAGCAGCCGCACTCGCGTTTCGCTGAAATCGCAGTAAAGTTGCAGCGGTTGCGGCAGATGGATTGATTGATTGCCTGAAACAGTTAGCAGACATTGTCTGGCTGGCTTATTGCTATTTATGATCTTGATCTATGGATCGAGGGCAAAAGCACATGCGGCGCTGTTGAGCAGCCAGTGCACATGTTGATAATCAGCACGGAGGCTGATAATGATGCTGTGGCTCAAACTCTAGCTGGGAGCTGGCCTTGATTGGTAGTGGCTTCTTGCAAGGCTATGAAGTTCCCCCTGTTCCTGCGGCACTTACCGCCTCGTTTCTGATTGAAAACATTTTCCCCAAATTGTTGCACAGAAAAACCTTTAAGGGTATACCAGCTCGTTGCGGGTTAAAGACCTGTTGGTGTTAAGTGCACGATAATCGATTCGATTCGATTCGATTCGTTGCGAGCCCGGTCCGGATGATGTTGGCGTTAAACGGCTAGAGCGCCAAATCGCCTATTTATGACCGCTGCTGCCTGGCCAGGAAATCATACATTTGCATGTGCCGAATGGAAAGTATCTATTAGACGGCACCGAACAGCGAGATATATGGATATATAAAACTCAGTGGGGACATTAAAAGGCATTGCACCACCAAGGGGACTGACCACAAAAAAAATTGCCAAGGGAGCAAAAAATATACCAATAACGGTCTCAGCTGGCTAACACATTTTGCAGTTTTTACAGCCTTTTAATTACGCTCAACGGCCAAAAAACAGACGGCAAATTGAAGGAGAATTCTGCCTTGGATATCGGTATGTGTATTATATTGACTATCAATAAAAGTTGTATCAAAACCGCCAGACAAACGCACACGAGCTAAAACCGTTATCATTACGACTCAGTCCTAGATTTGTGTTCAGTTTGGCAACGTGTTGTTTTATGAGATGAGGTTGCACCTAGTTTTTAGCTTTTTGCATGCTAATTAGCTGCTTGTCACTAGTTGGTGATTGCAATTCGCGCCTTAAATGCTGAACCGTAGAAAGATCTAATTTCCGACATAGCTGCACTCACTTCCCCTTTTTGGACTGGAATGCCCGAATCCGTTCAGGCCATTAAATGGAAACTGCCTGGCCAACACTTGCAATCGAACAGGCCATTATCCTCATTGCTCTTTATGGCCCCAAACAATGCGCTAATGATTTATTTAAAGCACATTAACATTGGTATCGGAATTCGGAATTCGGCATTCAGCAACTCGGCAACCAAAGAGCAAGCGGCGAAGAGTCATCCAAAATTGCCCACTGGGCCGGCTGGGTGGGCGTCATCGCTGGGACTTGGGATTTCGGGGCCGCACCCCTGCTTTGGCATTGGCAGTGACCCAGCACCAGTGAGCCACCGCTGCTGCACCACTAGCACCACCAGCACCACCGGCACCACTGCGTACTTCCCGTATCACAAGTTGCGTATCTGCGCCGCGGGCGCAAAACGAAATCGACATTTAATGCGCTACCACACAATTGCCAACGGTGGGGGAGGTGGCCGGTGGGTCGGTGGGTTGATGGGCGGTTAGTGGAGGGAAGTGGAGGGAAGTGGGCGGTTGGCAGTTGGCGGTGGGAGGGCGCGGCCGTTTCCGTTTGAGTTGCGGTTACCATGATATCGCATATTTCAATCAATTTGCTTATTATTGTCGTTGCTCTCGGGGCATTCCCGTTAGTATAATAGACCATAAAGGTGCGCTTGAGATCGACACACAAAACACAAGATGGTAAAAATAAAGACAAGGAAACACAGCAACATTTTCACCACAATATATAAGACAAGTCGACTCTTTACTTTCGGCATATACCCTTGAAGAAGGTATTTGAAAATCATAATCATCATAATGATGGGCCTCTATGGTGTTCCATATTTCACTTAATTTCCGGTACATTTTTAGCTTCTTTTATTGTGTTGCAGACCACATCTCCGTTATAGAGATACTCTAACAGAATGAGCTTATTATTTTTGGCAACATTAGATAAAATATGAAATATAGATGTTGTTGCCCCGTAGAAGGGTGCTCCACGTGTCGATGTCCTTAGAATCTTGGCCTTTCCCAGTTTTTTTTTGGATGTGTCTAAAGCGTGAGATGCGACCACATGCAAATTTGCCCGGCACGATGTCCCTGACAGACACTTGTCAACGGATTTCTTTTTGTTCAGCTGCTGCCATTTTGTTCTCGACAAAACTATGCAAATATATGTCAGGGAGATGTAGATGACGATGCCATGCCAAAGGCGATGTCAACTGAGCGACAACAACAAATGAAGATCAGCGCGGGCTTATTTATTTTATTTTTATATACAGAGGTCCTATGCTCCTGGGTTCCTTCAAGTACCCGCCCCCTCGCAAATGCAACTGCAACTACAACTGGCGCAGCATTAGGCATTCACCCAAACACTCTTGGCGCAAACGGCAAGCACTTGGCCGGGGAAACTGCAACACCGACTTGACTGGCTTGGCTTGGCTTTTCTTGGCTCGGCAAACACATTTTTCGCGCCCGAAAAGTGTTGGAGGCGTTTTGTTGTCCACTTAGAGACATGGGGCCGTCCGTCTGCCGCTGGATGCTGCAGCAGTTGCAAGAAGGAAAATCCAAACTTGCAGCAGCCACTAAGCGTCTTGGGCACACGTCAGTCTGTCGCTTCCGTCGGCCTCTTCGTCTCCTTGTCTCCTTGTCTCTTTGGCTTTTATTGCCTTTTGTTGCCTTTTGGCGCCTTGCGGTTGGTCGTTGTTGATTGTGGCATTTTGATTGATTTCCTTTTGACTTTTGGCAGCCGCAAATATTTGGTAATCCTGCCAGCAAACAAGCCGCTTCATCAGCAATTTTAATGCATAATATAGCACCTCTATATCGGCATTTTCTTGGCATTTTAATGCCATCTACTTTCTAAGCGCGAATACAAAATCTGTTGACATCCACACCGCCGTGCTGTATTCCTGCCATCCATACCCATTGACCATAAACTTGATTTCTTCGCACATTCGGCGACAATTTGTCAGAAATTCTGGCACTTTTTCAATCCGTTTTCAGCGGCCTGAGTATTAAGGTCAACGTCAGTGCTTAATTGAACACCTGGACGGTCGAAACCACGACGGCGATGGTGGGTCAGCAGGTCTGCAAGGTGAGTCATAAGACGGACCCAAGGTAATGGCAGAACGATTTCCATTTTCATTTCCAAATAAATCTGGTTGGCACGAATAACACAGACATAAATGAAGGAAAACTAAGTCAATTTCTTTAACTGCCTCCGAGACTCTAATTCGCTAATAAGTAATAGTAAAGTTGTTAATCAAATAAAACAACATTATTGCACATAGTAAATCGCTTTTGCGTCTACTTGTAGCTAGCTACTCGATAATCTCAATGCCTCCTTCAAAAATATAACACCGCAAAGAAGTTGTGAAGCCTTCATTCAAATGGTGGTAGACATAATTTGTAATTGAGATGTGCGATGTTGCAACACATCAATGACAACAGACGAAACGAAGCGAAAATGCATCTTCGGCTGTCAAAAATTACAAAAAGTCCCTTGTTGCTGGCAATGTTGCAGGTGTTGGTTTGGTTTGGCTTCTTTGAGTAAATAGTGCAAAGTCGTGAAATCAAATTTGTTCACGTTGCTGGCAGTCGATGTCTATTATTCGCTTTATGTTAATCAAAACGGGCCAGCAACTCAGACTCAGCCAGATTTTGCGTTGTCCTACCAAAATGAAAAACAGACAGCACCACTGAACAATTAATGTTCTTTCTTTCACCAAATAAAATATTAATTCAATCCGTATCTGTATATAAATTTGTAATATAATAATTATTTAATGAAGTAAAGTAGGTTTTAGGTTTTTTCAATTTTTTTAGAATGGCAAGGTACTACAACTAAGTGATTACTTGCAGTGTACACCCCCTCTCTGTCAGTAGGCCACAAATTGTTGGTTTTAGACTGCTTCTTTGGTGTTGGGGCTTTACATAATTTGGTGGATCTGTTGTGGTTGCCTTGTTTCTCGCTTCGCACTTGGAGTCTTATTTCGTGGCTCCGGTCGTGTCTTTGCGGTGTCTTCCTGGTGAGCAATTTGCATTTATTTTATTTGCAGGGGAAAATGACAAAGCCAGACACTACAAGCTATTGAGAAATACGTTGGTGTAGAAAAGAAGCAATTCGATGGTGAATACGCCGGTCGCAGTGCCCAGACCCACTGCCAAGATGAGCCAGCACATGCGAAGGTCCTTGAGGCGCAGCCGTTTCCTTACACGAGCGCGGCTATAGTCCTTGATGGTCATGCGGCCAGCTCTCACCATTTCATAGAAGCTTTGGGTCATCCAATTGGTCATCAAGCCAGCTTGGTTCATGTTTAGGGTGAAATGCTGGAGCGGTTCGCGATAGAGGGACTCCGGTGCAATCAGCAAGCCCCAGGGTTGGTTCGAACTGAAGCACATGTCCTGCGAGTACCGGAATACTGGATGGGCAAAGTGCCGCTGTTGGGCCTCAATCACAAGCCACTTTATGGACGTGATGGTGTATGCCCAACTTGTGTTAAAGTAATTTCGGTTATCATACAGCTCATTGGGGTTCTCAGTCAGGTGAAAAACTGACGCGTACTTGGCCCGAAAACCACCATCCAGAAAATAGAACTCACGGTTTATTCCAAAGATTTTCAAGCCAGAGGATAAAAGGTCATCAAAGTTTTTGATTCGTGTCTGGAGCGGTGGGGACATCAGCAGGGAGAGCAGTTGGGCAGAACTGGAGCAAAGCATCACCAAGGCGAAAATCCTTGAAGCCACTCGTATTAATCTTCCACGAAAAGTGATACCCAACAATTTCATAAGCTGCGGAACTACCAAAAAGCACAGTATAAAAGCCAAAAGTAGAAGAAGCGCTAGTCCAGGACTCAGTATTCGGAAAAATATAACTTTCACACCTAAAGGCTTGTCCACCGGCAACATGGTACACCAGCTGAGGTCAAACAGAGGGTAGCTATAGTCGTAATACCTTTCCTCGTGCTTGAACGTTATCATTGCGGCAGTTACTCCGATATCCGAACTTCCATTCCGTGTAAACTGGATCATATATTCCGCAGCTAAAACCTTGCCTTTTTTCCATGTCGGATATAGAATCTGGGTGTCGCCTCTCAAACTTCTGGAAAAGTTCTCGACAATCCTCCACAAATATCCACCCAACCGATATTCACCATGTCGATCGCGATACAAAAATGAGTTGGGAGGCGACAGGTCGGGTTGAATCCGAATTTTATAGCCTTGGAGATCCGCTAGCTGGTTGATAAAGATGTTGGGTCGGAAAGATCCCAATAAACGCTGCTTCAAGACCTTGAAATATGGAAAAGCCAGGTAACTGAAGACACTCAGAGTGCGTTTCCAACGTGAAAAGTACAGTGCCACATTCAGCATACTGTATTGTTGGCAAAGCAGAAGTATTTGAGAGGCCAAAAAGGAGCCTCCCTTAGCCTCCACCTCGATAAGTACTCTTACTAACCGGTACCTGGTCAAACTCTGGGCCAAAAGCTTGAGCTGCCCATCATAAGATATTGAAGATAGACAGGCCATTACAAAGAGATTATTGCTGTGGCGCTGGTACAATCCTGGATAAGTTTCTTCGCGATACCAGATGATCTGAGGATGGCTGGATAGATTAGTCCTCAAAAGCGTTTCCCAGCTACACTTCTGTCCAGTGGGGTTAAAGTAGAACAATGTGGCCTCCGAGGACAACAAGAACTTCAGGACTAAACCGTATAGATCGACCAGCTCAGGAGCAGGAGTAACACTGATGTTGGACAACATGACTAACACCCAATCCGACGAAGACTGAAGGACAAATACTGGGGACTGGAAGCGGTTGTCCTTTGATAAATTGTTTGCTTTGGAAATCAAATGCTTATCGCACGTTATTATCTGGGGACAAATTCAATACGGAAATAAAGAGTGTGTCCAGCAATTATCAAAGTGACTTCGCTATGGTGGAATATGAGTTCAAGGCAAGCTCCCAGTTTGTTAAAGTTACGATGACTTGTATCTGGAAATGTCTCTGCAGCCATGTAAAATCCATAAATTCCTGACCTTTCAACTTGTGGGCAAGGCAACCGCAACGCAGGCGAAAACAAAACAAAACAAAATGCAGCGAAACAAAACAAAAAGCCAGAGAAAATACGACAGGCCGAACCCAGAGGGCCAGCTGCAGCTGTAGAATTTTAAGGCCGAAACATTTTTTGGCTTCACATGGTTGCCCGTTGAAGGGGAGTTTTGGTTTTATTAAAGGGCGCAGCTTAAATCTGTGTTTAAAATCAGATATATTCATGTTTTCAAAAGGCTCTGTGGCAGAAATTATAAACGAACTAGTACCAGAATTTTTTCTTATCATGATATTGGAAAGTTGACTTCTTAACTGAGTCTATGGAAATATGGAAATGTGTCCGATAGGGTGTCAAGTATTCGGTGCTGACCATCGGGCTGCCGACTTGTTTCGGCTGCCATTCAAAGTTCAGGCGGCGTCTCTTTGGCCAACCAAGAGATTTTATGGCCGGTACTGACTTAAGCCTGATCCTTCTTGGCAGCTGACAACACCCTCGCATCCGTCTTGCGGAGAAAGTTTTGCGGTCTGCGCATTTCTGGCTGCACACGCGTGTTTTCCACTCCGCTGACCTTCGCTGGGACAGATCGTTTAATAATTTGCAGCAAATCTCGAATCGCAAGTCGATTGTTGGCCACGACGGCTGGAAATTGTCTCACATGTCGTGAGGGTCTTGGCCCGCTCGATCAGCGGTTTTGGCTTGATTTTCCCGCCGATCACGGCCACATAATTCATTTTCCAGACATCGTGTTTCGGGGAAATTTGTCAACCAAATCGTGGCACATCTTGTGCATCATAAATTGCCCTTGGCGTAGCAATTGTCTAAGCCACAGAATCCAATCCTAGCCACCGATGCTCCATGAAGCAAGAAAATTCTTAGGCCAAGTAAAGGTAACTGGGCCAATCCGCAGTCCCAAAAGAGTGGGTTCATTTGCCTAACTAGACGTCATTTAAAATTGAGATATGCAAGTTGCGACACATCATTGACAGCCGTGGAAACGAAGCGAAAATGCATCTTCTGCTGTCAAAATTACCCAAAAAGCGCTGGTTGTTGCCAATGCTGCCGATGTTGGCAATGTTGCAGGTGTTGGTTTGGCTTGGCTTCTTTGGCTAAATAGTGCAAAATCGTGAAATCAAATTTGTACACGTTGCTGGCAGTCGATGTCTATTATTCGCTTTATGTTAATCAAAACGGGCCAGCGACTCAGACTCGGCAACTCAGATCTTGCGTTGTCCTACCAAAATCCAAGAAACCGACAACTTCGGCACTAGGCCACAATTTGCTGGTGTTTGCTGCCAAGGCTTTTACATAATTTGGTGGATCTGCTGCGGTTGTCTGATGGTGGCTTAATGGTTCGGTGGTTCGGTGGTTCGGCGGTTCGGCGGTTCATCTTCCCCTCGATTGGGGTCTCATTTCGTGGTGCCCGTCGTGTCGCTGCGGTGACTTCGTAGGAGGCAATTTGCATTTATTTCATTTGCCCTCGCAGCTCGAAGGTGTAAGACGGTAGGAATCCATTCAACAGCATTGTTAACTACTGTCTCGTTGCCCGAATCGGGCACTCCAGGAACCCTTGTCACCGTCACGAAGTAAACACACCAAAGTTAGCATTTGCTTTTATCCTGTCTTGTCTCTATTATTTACTGAGTAGCTGGGTGGAGGTGGAACAGCCTGGTTTATCGGACGCCATCGCCGTAATTGCCGCGCGAACAATTAAAAGCCCAGCCAGTAGTTTACCCAGCTAACAAAAAGCTCACAGGTAAACAGAACCATGCTAATTAGCAATACAGAAACGTAAGTGATAAACACATTTCTGAGGTCCGTAATATTGAGCGTTTCGGCCTGATAACGCTTCCCGATGGCTGTAAAGTTGATCTTACCCGCCTTAACCATATAGGAGAAGCCCCGATTCACCCACAAATCATGCAGACCAGCCTCTCTGATGCGCAGGATGTAACTATGAAATGGAGCTTTATGAGGCGAGTTCTCCGGAATGACCAATCCAAATGGTATCATATCATAGAAGCACAGGTCCTTCGAATAGCGAAACACTGGCTTTGCGCTCCGCTTTTGCTGCTCCTCATATATCTTCCACTTTTCGCTAGTGATGGTATAGCCGTAGGAGGTATTGAAGGCATTTCGCAGTCCTAGCAGTATCGATGTCTGCAATGCCAGATGGAATGCAGCGGAGTATTTGGTGCGCTGCGTAAATTCAATGGACGAGTATTCCGATCTTATGGAGATGATGCGCACAGGCGATTCCATCAGGACCGACAGGCTGTTGATTGGAGGCAGAGACGGTGGGTCTGTGAACAGATAGAGTAGTCTTCCTACGTAGTTCGAGCTGACCAATGTGGCCAGCACCAGCCAGCCAATGCTTTTGAGCCTTGAGTGTCGGCGCCAGCGTCCACGAAGCGCCTCGTAGAAAATCCAGAAGAGTAGTAGCACGGCAAATGTGGAATACGGCATCACCCGCGAAAGCAACTCGGACACATGGAGCTGCCTTTCCACTGGCAACATAGTGCACCAACTGGCCTGGTTAACCGGATAGGAAATCTCGTGCATGCGATTTAGGGAACCCACCGACATTGGCTGTATGCTGGCACCCAGGTCTATAATACCACTTTGGGCTGCGTCAAGGAGTTCGATGAAGTTGAGAGGCCTATCATCCGCATACTTATTGACCACCTGCAGTTGGGCATTGTGTTTCTGAGCATAGGCCTCCAATAAGTCCCACAAATAGCCAAGGATCTCTTTGTTGCCCTCTTTGTCTTGGTAAAGTATGGTATTTGGCTCCGAATAATCTGGCATTGTACGAATAACGCCTTCACGAAGGTTTAACATCTTATTCGGGTACAAGTCGGATGCTTGTGTGTCAGGTGTAAAAGTTTGGTTCACCACTTCGAAACTTGGATACGCCTCAAAGCTGGAAAGATTTTCAGTTTCCGAAAAGTCGGCAAATATTGCATTGACATTAATCATATCCTGAGTGAGACAAAAATGCAGCACTTCACCAACTAGGAATTCATCTCTATCCTCCATGAGTTCAATGAGTATCCTCGCCTGTCTAAGGTATTTCAGACTTCTCGATAGGCTGCCTAGCAGAGATCTCCAATGAAATCCTGGAAGACAAGCCAGCACCAAGAGTCCCTCGCCGATGAATCCATTCAGGATCACAGTTCTATCCGTTCGCCAAACCACCAGGGGCAATCCCCAAGTGGCCGATGCAATTGTATCTTCGAGGTGGCATTTTTCATTCACAGGAGCATAGAAGAAAATACTGGTAAGTTCTTGACCACGGCTTATTAGCGACACGAGCTTGGAGTGCAGACTATTACCGCCAGTAGACATCTTAGAATACTGACTTCTTTCTAGGGATGGTCCTATATAATACAACTGGTTTTATTTGCCTAATCGGTGAAAAGTTATTTATGGAATTCATTTCCACTTGACGTGAGAATAACACAGTTAAATCCATAGTTTAAGAATACCCATTAATAATTATTTTCTACAATGCTGCTGGTATCAAAATGTACGGAATGTTTCTACTTAGAAAATATATTCATATTATATAAACTACAAGTAGTTTTTTTATTGACAATAAGAAGTGTATTTTTTGTGAAACCAATACACCCCACTATATCCTGTAATGCGTTTTTATTTACTCCTACGACATATTTACTCAGCTTACAAGTTGTTTAGGCAAACATTTACATAGTGAACAGTGAGCTCGATGACGAAAACAACCACAGAAAATAGAAGTCCGGCCACATGTAGTAATTCCACATACTGCCATTCTGACCAACGAATGGGTTGCGCCTGGCGGACTGTGCTTAAGTCCCCCTTGGGGAATCGTCCAGCAGCAACCATTACGTAATAGGATCTCCTATACCACAGGCTTATGAGTCCGGCTTCGTGCATTCGTAAGATGAAATTTCTGTTTTCGTGGCGATATAAGCAGTTGCTTTGCAGGATCAGTGAGAAAAGCGATAGCTTCTGGACACAAATATCCTCCGAGTAGCGAAACAAAGGTCGCCGGAAATGGCGTTGGGCTTCTTTGTATAGATTCCACTTAACGGAGGACACCGTATAGCCATAAGAAGTGTTGAAGTTGTTACGATCTTGTGCCAAATCAAAGAAAACGTCATGCAGCAGAAAGGAGGATGCATACCGACTCCTCATTTCGATGGGGTACTCCATGAACTCCGCTCGCATTCCTCGGATTTTAAGACCCGATTCCTCTAGTTGCTGCATGTTGGAAATGTGATTCACCTTCTGGGGTCCAATAAAATAGGCCGAAAGTTGAGCTTCTAGAAAGCAGATAAGCGCCAGGTTAATCAAAAGTTTTATCAGGTGTACGAGTGAAATCCTTAAACGTGTTTTTAGCACCAAAAATCTGTGCACACCGTACAGCACTAGCAAGATTAGCCACGTCCAAGGAGACTTCATCAATCTGGCCAGCGCCTCATGGCTGCGTATTACCCTTTCCGTGGGTAACATCGAACACCAATTTCCCACCATCATTGGGAAACCATATACATGCGAGCTGCTGCGTTTCACGTTGACGGTATAAGGCCTCAAGCTGGCTGCTATATCCACGGTTTCATTTCTTACCAAATCCAGGACCTGGACAAGTTTAATGGTTCTATCCGGATGTGGCTCCATGGGAAGCTGAAGAGTGCCATTAATATGTTTGACGAATTCAACCATTAATTGCCATACAGGACCTTCAATGGTGATGGAACCATTCGATATCTTTTGCACGATGGTATGCGGCTCAGAATTATCGGGAATGGTGCGTATAGGATGTCCTTTCAGGTTTCCCAGCTTATAAGGGAATAGTTTGAGGTATGCTTGATAAACTAGTGTTTTAACTTTGAACTCTGGAAACATTTCGTAGGAGTAGAGTGTCCCAGAGGTAAAAAATTTCGACGAGAGCAACACGACGTTGATCATTTTTAAGTCTTGACTTTGCTTCAATATTAGCCGAGCTGAGTTCAGTTCCTGGTTGGAATCTTCGTCTCCGCAAAGTTGCAATACCACGGGAATGTATAGTATTTGATCCAGCATTACGCTTAATGCTAGCAGCACTTCCTGGTACTGGTGAAATCTCAGGCAGGACACTGACAACATGTCGGAATCCTGTCGCTGCCTCAGATAATGTGGGTACGTTTGATTATTCCACATTAAAGCCGTTGAGTCGGCAGAGCCCATAACATCATCAAACCAGCATTCACATGATCCCACTCGATAGTGCAGCAGCGTCCGGTATCGAACCTCCAACCTCAAATGTGTCCAGAACCGCTGGAGAACGTCTGAACGAGACCAATTAGGGGTCTCGGCCAACAGCACTTGTTGCCACATGCCCGACTTTTAGACTAGTGACCCACTGAAGGATTGGGCTCGGCTTTTAAGGCCCAGCTCACATTGTTCTGTCCAAACTGAAGGAGTCAGCGTTTTTAAGGGCTGACTTGCAGAACCCTTTTGGCCACTGATTTCCAACACAATGCATTACAAAGAATGCAAGCAGCTTGCGCCAACGCTCGAAAGCAAAAGTTGCGACGCATAAAATTGTGGCTTGTCTGACCTGTCGCCAGAGTGACCCAAATAAACGGTGGAGAATGCCCACAAGAAGGGGTATATTCGCACAGCAGGTTTCCTGGAACTTAGAAGGAATTGCATGCCAAGGTGGCTGCTTTTTAAGTAGTTTTATTCAGTTAAGGGCTAACGTATTTTGGTAAGTTCTCAACAGTTTTGTCAGTTTGGAATGTACGAGTATTTTCTGAAATTCAAGTTTAAGGAAATAAATGAATATAAACGAGCATAAGTAATATACCCCAGTGCCGCTACACCAAACTGGGGAGAGAGACAATTGCTTTTGAGCAAGCCAACAAACAACAAACCAGCGTGTTGACAATGGTCAAATACTCGGGCCAAATGTGAAGATGCAGCTGGGGATCGCCGAACCCGCTAACCCACGACCCCTGCCCCCCCGACTGGCATACCGGCCAAACGAATTGTTGTCTTCTTGGCCAGCACAGCACCATGCATCCAATCATACACTCCCACTGCAGGTTGCAGTTTGCTGGCTGGATGCGCACAAGTCCAAGACTGGCAGCCATGTCCATGTCATCATCATCATCGTCTGCACAGCGGCATTTTGTTGCTTTGGCTTTCGTTGGTGGTGTCGTCCCGTGGTCGTGGCACTTGTTTTATCGTCATTTTACAGGCATTTTTCATAAATTACAGTTTATTGTTGTTTGATAAACGGTCAGCGGTGGGCGCTACTTGTATTTTGTGACCAGCAGCGACACGCAAATAAACTTAAAGCAGGAATCACAACGCTTTTATTGTATTAACAACGTTGTCGCATCATCGTCGTTGGCGTTTTTTGTTGTTAGTGCTCGTCTGCCTTGATAAGTTAAGCGTTGACATCTTTATGCACCTGTGTGGGCATATGCATCTGCAGATGTACAGCGCAATCAAGAAATCATGTGAAATGGTGAATAAAAGTCGAACTTTATGTCCCGAATTAATGGCTTCCCACAGAGCATGAGAACTTTTCACTTGGCTAGATCACACCCTTAAATTGTGCAGTCGAATGAAATTTGTTCCGCCTAATACTTCAACCAATATTTTAGTGGCGCTTAGGAAACAAAAAAATAAACAAATTATGGTACGTAACTCACCCACTTATGATTTACGAGCCAAGACCTGAGGCCCCGGGGCTTTGTGGGCTTTTGGCGTGCAAATTACCAATGCAAATATGCATCCGCAGAGTGCCAATCGAGTGGGGCAGAAGTGCGGTGGCGCACCGATATTTGCATAATTTTATGGCCACAAATTCCACTTAAACAACTTAATTAGATTTCAAAGAGCAGCCAGCAAAAGGCTGATTTGGAGGCACTTAGATAAATAAAGAAAATTCGAAAAACGGCGAATGGATGGCATGTCCCTTTGGGGCAGCCGCAGCTTATTTATGAACGTGGTCAGCGCCATTTTGGCCAAGTCGATTACAGACTTACAAACTTATCTCCCACTGCGGACTCAACTAAATGGCCATAAACTGGATATGAATCGGTCTGGACTCGAGACCCACTTGGCCTGGCTGGCCCCCTCGATCGCTCCATCTAATGGCAGCTAATCTAGTTAACAGTTTTTCAATTATAGACGATTTGGTGCAGCTGATAATAAATGCGATAAAACATATTTCAGGCCAACGACGCCAATTGGATCCAGATTACATCAGAGATTGCGCTCCGCGTTTGGGCGTAGTTCGGCTGCAATTGTCAAAACCATTTGCTCTGGTCTGGGCCGAACTCATTTGTTAGCCATATTGTTAGCCGGCTGCGGGCGCTAATTGATTTGCCAGCTTGTGTGTGCCAAATGTGGATCATTAAAAACTTAATTAGCTGCCGCCATTCATTAGGCCTCGGACCGCCCTTCGACTCTCGATCGCCCTTTAATTACACATTCTGATCGATCCGATCCGATCGAATCTGTTGGCCAATTCAATCTTGTACAGAAATTACGTATTGAGAAATCCGCATTTGTAGTGATGCCCCGAGGTCAAACGAAACAATCTTATTTTTCGGTTTTCTTTTTTTTTTTGGCTACCAATAAAATAAGATAGAATGCTATAGTCGAGCTCCCCGACTATCAGATACCCGTTGCTCAGCTAGATGTAGATTTTTAGAGAATTGGTCCAGAAACAGTAAGAGGTATGCCATTTAAAATTCCGATTAAGATAAGTTGAGTTATGGACTTTAGAACTTCAGCCTAGGGACATTTTTGAATTTCCACAACATCATAACATCAGAAAAATGACAAAAAAATGTTGAAAAAAAATATTCTAAATTTGAATGCAGTTTTTTAGAGAATTGCTCCGGAAACATTTAGAGGTATCCCGCTTCAAATTCCGATTAAGATTAGTTGAGTTATGGACTTTAGAACTTCTGCCTACGGACATTTTTGAATTTCCACAACATCACAACATCAGAAAAATGACAAAAAAATTTTGAAAAAATAAAATTCTAAATTTGAATGCAGTTCTTTAGAGAACTACTCCAGAAACATTTAGAGGTATGCCACTTCAAAATCCGAATAATATTAGTTGAGTTATGGACTTTAGAACTTCAGCCTACGGACATTATTGAATTTCCACAACATCATAACATCAGAAAAATGACAAAAAAATTAAAAAAAAATAAAATTCTAAATTTGAATGCAGTTCTTTAGAGAATTGCTCCGGAAACATTTAGAGGTATCCCGCTTCAAATTCCGATTAAGATTAGTTGAGTTATGGACTTTAGAACTTCTGCCTACGGACATTTTTGAATTTCCACAACATCATAACATCAGAAAAATGACAAAAAAATGTTGAAAAAAAATATTCTAAATTTGAATGCAGTTTTTTAGAGAATTGCTCCGGAAACATTTAGAGGTATCCCGCTTCAAATTCCGATTAAGATTAGTTGAGTTATGGACTTTAGAACTTCTGCCTACGGACATTTTTGAATTTCCACAACATCACAACATCAGAAAAATGACAAAAAAATATTGAAAAAATAAAATTCTAAATTTGAATGCAGTTCTTTAGAGAACTACTCCAGAAACATTTAGAGGTATGCCACTTCAAAATCCGAATAATATTAGTTGAGTTATGGACATTAGAACTTCAGCCTAGGGACATTATTGAATTTCCACAACATCATAACATCAGAAAAATGACAAAAAAATTAAAAAAAAATAAAATTCTAAATTTGAATGCAGTTCTTTAGAGAATTGCTCCGGAAACATTTAGAGGTATCCCGCTTCAAATTCCGATTAAGATTAGTTGAGTTATGGACTTTAGAACTTCTGCCTACGGACATTTTTGAATTTCCACAACATCATAACATCAGAAAAATGACAAAAAAATTTTGAAAAAATAAAATTCTAAATTTGAATGCAGTTTTTTAGAGAATTGCTCCGGAAACATTTAGAGGTATCCCGCTTCAAATTCCGATTAAGATTAGTTGAGTTATGGACATTAGAACATCAGCCTAGGGACATTTTTGAATTTCCACATCATAACATCAGAAAAATGACAAAAAAATATTGAAAAAATAAAATTTTAAATTTGAATGCAGTTTTTTAGAGAATCGCTCCACAAACATTAAGAGGTATCCCTCTTCAAATTCCGATTACGATTAGTTGAGTTATGGACATTAGAACTTCAGCCTAGGGACATTTTTGAATTTCCACAACATCATAACATCAGAAAAATGACAAAAAAATTAAAAAAAAATAAAATTCTAAATTTGAATGCAGTTCTTTAGAGAATTGCTCCGGAAACATTTAGAGGTATCCCGCTTCAAATTCCGATTAAGATTAGTTGAGTTATGGACTTTAGAACTTCAGCCTAGGGACATTTTTGAATTTCCACAACATCATAACATCAGAAAAATGACAAAAAAATTTTGAAAAAATAAAATTTTAAATTTGAATGCAGTTTTTTAGAGAATTGCTCTAAAAACATTTAGAGGTATCCCTCTTCAAATTCCGATTACGATTAGTTGAGTTATGGACTTTAGAACTTCAGCCTACGGACATTTTTGAATTTCCACAACATCATAACATCAGAAAAATGACAAAAAAATTAAAAAAAAATAAAATTCTAAATTTGAATGCAGTTTTTTAGCGAATTGCTCCGGAAACATTTAGAGGTATCCCGCTTCAAATTCCGATTAAGATTAGTTGAGTTATGGACTTTAGAACTTCTGCCTACGGACATTTTTGAATTTCCACAACATCATAACATCAGAAAAATGACAAAAAAATTTTGAAAAAATAAAATTCTAAATTTGAATGCAGTTTTTTAGAGAATTGCTCCGGAAACATTTAGAGGTATCCCGCTTCAAATTCCGATTAAGATTAGTTGAGTTATGGACATTAGAACATCAGCCTAGGGACATTTTTGAATTTCCACATCATAACATCAGAAAAATGACAAAAAAATATTGAAAAAATAAAATTTTAAATTTGAATGCAGTTTTTTAGAGAATCGCTCCACAAACATTTAGAGGTATCCCTCTTCAAATTCCGATTACGATTAGTTGAGTTATGGACATTAGAACTTCAGCCTAGGGACATTTTTGAATTTCCACAACATCATAACATCAGAAAAATGACAAAAAAATTAAAAAAAAATAAAATTCTAAATTTGAATGCAGTTCTTTAGAGAATTGCTCCACAAACATTTAGAGGTATCCCGATTCAAATTCCGATTAAGATTAGTTGAGTTATGGGCTTCAGCCTTGGATAACTTTTTAATGTTTTTGAATTTCCTGAGATCGAGGAGTTCATAAGGCCAGACGGACATG